TTGGTTTTAGTACAATTTCTGAGCTCTAAAGGCAATGAGGAATATAATACTTTAAAATTTTATATTTGAAACTACAAGTGTGATTTTTTAGGGGGACAATGAGCTGGGCTCATTAATCCGTTGGTTTGTTAAAAGGAAGATTTCAAAGTTAATATACCTGAGAATCATTTAAGTATAAAAAATGAAGTACTTTATATGTGTGTTGCTAAAATAGCTTTAAATTATGGCTTTGTTAAGTCCAAACTTAATAGGACTTTAAAAGGAGGAAACAAAAAAGGGTAGATTAGAAGACCTGATTCAGATCCTGATTGACACAAGTGATGTGACTGTAGTTGTGCCACTTAATGTTTCTAAATCTTAGTTTCCTTATATTATAAAACTGACTAATCATAAAATATAATTATAATCACAATACATAATGTTGTGAGGGTTAAATGAGAGAGTAGATGAGAATTCTTTGTAACTGAAAAAAATGATGGTTTCCTTAACACCAAAAAAACACAAATAACCCAATCAATAAATAGGCAAAGGAATTGAATAGACACTTCACAGAAGAAATATGATTGGTAAACAAATATATAAAAATGTTCAACATCTCTTGCAAATAGTGAAATGCAAATTAAAAGTACACTACACTGAGATTTTGTCTTATTCCAGTCAGAATGGCAATTATCAAGAATACAAGTGACAATGTTGGCGAGAATGTGGGGGAAAAGGTTCATTCATATATTGCTGGTAGGACTGTAAATTGGTGCAACTACTCTGAAAAGAAACAAGGAGAGTCATCAGAAAACATTGAGTGGAACCACCATTTTACCCAGTTATCCCACTCCTTGGCATATACCCAAAGGACTTAAAATTGGTATACTATGGTGACACAGCTGTATCAATGTTTAGAGCAGCTCAATTCACAATAGCTAAGCTATGGAACCAACCTAGATGCCCTTCAACAAATGAATGGATAAAGAAATGTGGTACATGTCACAATGGAATATTACTCAGCCATAAAAAGAATGAGATTACCAGCATTTGCTGATAAATGGATAAAACTGGAGAATACCATGCTAAGTGAAATAAGCCAACTCTCAAAAAACCAAAGGCCAAATGTTCTCTCTAATATGCAGATGCCTATCCACAACAAGGGAGGGTAGGGAGGGGAAGAATATAAATTCACTGGATTAGATAAAGGAGAATGAAGGGAAGAGAGGGGAGATATTAATAGTGTAATACAAAGAATAGAGTCACATGCTATCATATATGAATACACGACTAGTATAACTCAACATCATGTATAACCACAAAAATAAGAAGTTATACTCCAGGTATGTATGATATGTCAAAATACACTCCACTGTCATGTATAACTAAAAAGAACAAATAAAAAACTGAAAAAAAATGATGGTTTCCAATAGCATAAACACTGTCAAATGGTCAAGTAGTGACATCCATACCAATGAGCACTCTGAGGGAGAAAATAGTATTTTATTCCCACAGAAAGTTTGAAACAATAAGCAATGTCTCTTGTACTTTTATATGTGGATTCAAAATGCAATGCTCTGTATACTCAATTCTATTTCTATATATATTGGTCATTTGGGACTGTGCTTTACTTTTCTGATGAACACACCTATACTTGCTAATCTGGTTCCACCACTTTCACCCATTTTACGTATAACTAAAATACCAGTATGACTTTCTTTAAAAATCAAAATTAATATATCATGTGATTAAACCCAGGATATTCTGATATCAAGAGAGACAAAACTGATAGCATGTGACTCTATTCCTTGTATTACACTATTTTACCACAAATTAAGACCCTTTCTGGTTTGTTTGTTTTGTTTTCCTTGTGGTACTGGGGATGGAACCCAGGGACACTCTGTCACTGAGCTATATCTCCAGACCTTTTTTTTATTTTTTAAGACAGGGTTTTGCTAAATTTCCCAGACTGGCCTTGACTTTGTGATCCTCCTGCCTCAGTCTCTTGAATAGTAGGGATTACAGGCATGTGCTTGTGTGTCTGGCCTATTTTTGTTTTCTTTTGTTTATATCTGCCTCCCACCACTCCAACTCTCTGCTTTTCCATTTTTCTTTATCTTATCAGAGGGAATTATGAACTAATTCTTAGTCTTTAACATGATTTTAGCTAACTGACATAGCATAGTAAGAAAATAAATTATTTCTATACAAATACAATGTCATGACAATGATGGACTTGCGCTTGCCACCATAGAAGCAGGGTAATGCTTTAGTTATATACATTCTTATAAATGTAAAATGTTCTCAACAGGACTATAAGTGGCTCTTCCAGTAATAGGAATAAACTTGACATAAACATCATTTCTTTGCTTTGTTCTCTTTCTGAACAAGGACTGACATCTAGATTAGAATTATGGTCAAAGAGTGGAATCATGGGGCTGGGGATATAGCTCAGCTGGTAGAGTTCCTGTCTTGCATGCACAAGGCCCTGGGTTCAATCCCCAGCACCACACACACACACACACACACACACACACACACACATAAAAAAATAATGGAATCAATTTGCCTCAGTTATGTGCAAACCAAAACCTCAGACTTATCAGCTTTGTACTATAAACACTTTCAAAGCATATCCTTAAGATCATGTTCAAAGATAGAAATGTGAAATTTGCTACAAAAGAAACATATACCACAAACTGATTGAATTAACATATGTATAGGTTTGGGGTAAAGGGTTAAACATTTAAAGACTGAAAAGTAATTCCAGTAAGCTACATCTGTATTATGAATAAAAAGAAGCATCTTCATTGGTTCTAAACTAAATTTTGTCATATGTGAATCTCCTCTATATATCCAGATACAGAATTATAGAATTGAACCAAATGTAACTTCAGACAAATGAATTATCTCATTTTCAAAGTGAGGAGATTGAAGCTGGGAGAAGTAACTGGCTTTGCCAGGATAACATGGTTAAAGAATAACTGAACTTTAGTTTGAAGTTAGGCCTCATTCAATGCTCTTTTTTACTCCATCACACAATTTCCTCACATGTTCTTCCCTATACTTATAGCCAAGTCTTTAGTCATTTCAAAGAATGGATAAAATTCAGCTATAAATATTTTCTTACACTTTACATCTAAATAAGTAGTTCAAGTGGAATGGATCATTTAGCATTGATTTTTAAAAAATATTTTTTTAGTTGTTGATGAACCTTTATTTTATTTATTTTTATGTGGTGCGGAGAATTGAATCCAGTGCCTCACACATGCTAAGCAAGTGCTCTGTCACTGAGCTACAACCCCAGCCCTTAGCATTAAGTTTTAAAAGAACATTTCCTTTCTGTTATAATCTTTTGACCTTATTTATAAATTTACATGCAGCTGTCACAAATCTTTTCCACATTTCAAAAGCAAATGTGGCATTCAGCTATCTAAAAGAAATTTTAAAATATAATTTGAGAACACTTGAATGGAACAACTGTGGCCATTGGTTTTCTTTGACACTTTCCTTATTTGTGCTTAAAATTAAAAACATATTAAGGATGAAACTGATAAGGTTTGTTTTTAGTTGTAGATAGACACAATACCTTTATTTTATTTATTTATTTTTATGTCATTCTGAGGATCAAACCCAGTTCCTCACATGTGCTAGGCAAGTGCTCTATCGCTGAGCTACATATAACCCCAGTCCATGAAACTGATAAGATTTTAATAGTACTGAACTACTGTGGAGCAGACAGAGAATGGCATATAATCACTTAACTATATTGCCAGGCTTTAGTCAATGCCACTTATAACAATATATCATACAAATATTTCAAGACTATCCATCAAAAGAAGAATTAAATTATACGAGATCCCAAGAGGTCTTGAATTTGGAGCTTGTTTTTATTAAAGATCTAGCAATTCTTTAACAGAACTTTCAATCACACCCCTAAATGGACTGTCAATAGGAAAGTAATCTGGTTTATTATTTTTTTCTTATTAAAACTTTGACAGCAAATATTTTTAAACTCAGTTTTTTTCTCTGTTCTCAGGAGCACACTATCTGTATCCTATGAAGTTGGAAAAGGAGAGAAAATGATTCCCTAAGTCTGTGATTAAACCAGTTTTGTAGTTTGGAGAAATAATTGTCATACACATAGGGAATACAGAGACACCTCCACTACAGCCATTTTCTGAGTTCTTACTATGAACCAAATACAAAGAACTCTACATCAACTAGCTCATTCATAATTACAGCAACTGTGTTGAAGATGAGGAAACTGACAAAAGATATGTTAAATGGCCTCAAGGTCACTCAACTAAAACATCATATTCCCAAACCTTTGTAGTGTAAGAATCTTAATCAAATAACATCAAGAGCTAGAATTTACAGTGTTTACTATGTAGCAGGTTCCGTTTCAAGCATTTTATATTTACTATGAGTTATTCATTCTTATAATAAACTGATACTATAGAGAATTTTATTTTCCCTTTTTTCAGATGAAAGATTGAGTCACAGAAAGGTTAAGTAAATTTCCCAAGGTCCCACAGCTAATAAGCGTGACCTTGAGAATATTTCTATTCCCTGTATTCATTAGGAAAACCTATGAAAAAGTTCCATGTATGGGTTTGTGATGAGATGTTCTTCATTCAAACAATTTTAGAACATATCTAACTACTGACTTTATTTAAATTACGATTCACAAGGAAAAGATATTTTAAGAATCCAAGAAATAATAATACAAAGGAACTATCTGCTAGCAATTCAATTCTTCCATCACAATTCAGCATTCTCTTTCATATTTATTGCACAACATGTAGAAGTTCAACTTTTAGCCATTTCCAAAATAAATAATAGTTTGAAAATATTTACATAGGAACTTACCAAATAATATACACTATCTAATCCTCACAAAACATTATTGTGAACATCAAATAAAGATATTACTTATATTACATTGTTCCTTATAAGTAAGTTTTAGCTGTTTGATATCTTTTTGTAACAAGGAACAACAATGCTTATAATGTATCTACCTGTAGTAGTTTCCATCTGGTATTCAGGTCTTCCAGAATGCTGAGGTTATATGGTGAGAGCTGAATGCCCAATGTGGTCAACTGGCGAGCAAGATCATTGACGTGGCTTACATTCTCTTTTAGAGGTGCAATCTCTCCCCGAAGTGCCTGTGTAAAATAGTCAAGAGCAAATTGGAAGATGAGAATATTAAAGCAAAGAGACAAAAATTGGAAGATGAGAATATTGAAGACAAAGAAATATTGAAGGCAAAGAAATACAAGATATCTTATTGTTTTTTGGGTTTAGTGTCAGTGATGTTCATTCTGTGCTATGACCTGAATGTGTGATTGTTCCAAAATTTATATGTTGAAGTCCTAAAAAGTAATAATAATAAAAAAGATATCCTAACCCCTAAGGCAATTGTGTTAGGATGTGGAGCTTTGGATAAGGTGGTTTTGGGGGTTAGTGGCCTTATGAAAGAGACCTCAGAGAGCTAGATAGCTCCTGTAATCATGTGAGGATGCAGGGAGAAGGTGATATCCCTAAAGAATTGGTCCTCACCAGACACCAAATCTGTCAGTGCCTTGGTCTAGGATTCACAACCTCCAAAAATGTAAGAAATAAATATCTGTTGTTTATAGCAACCCAGTTTATGGAATTTTTTTTTGTTATAGCAGCCCAGATAGACTAAGACATTTTTGGTGGCAGTATTATAATAATGGACATTTGTTAATGATAATTAATATTTTTGAGTACTTCTTAATTTCCTAGTTCTGTGGTAAGCTTTATCCACATGTAGACTAATTTTATTCCTACAAAACAATTATATGAGACTGATAATTGGAGAATTCTCATTTTACACATGAGAAAACAGACTTGCAGATGTTAGATGTCACCAAGGTCCCATATGTAATAACTGAGTAACCTAGGATACCTATGCAGATATCCTAGTGCATATTCTTAACTATCATGTCATATACCTGGTCAAAGAAATTTTGGACTGGCAAAATAACAGTAAAAAATATGGTGCGGCTAGATTCTAAATTCTACTCATCTCACAACCAGAAATGGATTCTTATTTTTTACAATAAAAAGATACACTCGATCATATAATATTGCATTCATATTTCATATCAACCACATAATAAATAGTTTCATTTAGGGACGCAGGTATTTTGTCAAGAACTAGGAATAACTTTCTGTTCTCCTGGTATTTTACTCCTGTAGCAATGACTTCTGAAGGCTCCCGTGGGACTTCTCAGCTGTCTCTGAAGCACTAGAGCAGGAGTCTCTGATGCAATGCATCATGACAATCTGTTGAGCAGAAGAACCCTATGCAGATATGGGGAGGATATTATCATGCATCATATCTACCCTATTGAGATGGCATTTATGGATCTTTAACATGATGCATGATGTCCAAATGTTCCAATGAGCAATTTCTAAGGGACAAATTCCCTCACTTAGAACAGTTTGTGTAATGTAATGTCTGTGCACAAGGACAACATCACTTACTTGACTCTACGTGCTATTTTCATTTGCTTGATATAGGCAGGTGTTATTTCTGTCTGGTTTACTGTGTTGGTAAAACCATTGTTTACACTGACCTCTTCTATAACCCTGCATGCCATCCCATGCTAAATGCAAGCCAGATACACATTCAAATTAGGAATGGCATTATACTCTCAGATCAACCTCAATATTTCATCAATGAAATGTGGTGTGTATGAACTATATGACTCTTGTATGGTTCTCAAACAAAAGATATTGTGACAACCACTCTGTTGATTTTGTGGTTTTTAAAGTGCTTCTTTATTTTTGGTAATAGGGATTGAACCCTTTACTACCAAACAACACCCTCAGCCTTTTTAGTTTTTTTTTTTTTAATTTTGAGACAGGGTCTCACTATGTTGCTTATGGCCTCACTAATTTGCTGAGGTTGACCTTAAACTTGTTATCTTCCTGCCTCAGCCTCCTGGGTCATTATGATTACAGACATGTGCCACCACACCTGGCTAAATGTGCTTATTTAAAACATTATATTAAAATTGGAGATTTCTTTTGGGGGTGATGAAAGTGTTCTCATATTAGTGATACAACCTTGTGAATATGCTAAACAGCACTAAATAGAACACTTCAAAATGATTGATTTCATGTATGCGAGTTGTATATAGTAATAAAAAATAAAGAGTCCCTTCTGATGATATATGTGTGAAAAATTCATGTTATGTACTCATCTTTAATCAACATGTCAGTGGAATGCCACAGGAATCAGTCTGAAATTAAAAACATTTTATAGGGGTTGATAGTAAATATTATTCTATTTCCTTATGAGTAAATACATGGATTAAAAGAATCAGCATTAAGTGTCCATGGACGAAGGTGGTCAAAATCCATATATGTGAATTCAAATCTCTAAAAGGAAATGATCCATAATGATTTTGTTTTGTGTAATAGAAATTTTAGAAATCAGATTTCTTAAATGTCAATGGGGAAACCTGGACAAGGATGGTGATTACCAAATGAAACCATTCTCTTCTGGAAAATAACATGCGTTTCTAGTAACAACAAATAAATATCATGCGAGGTAGAACTACAAACAGGAACCACTGTGGAGATGGCAGAATAGTGGACAGAATCTGTTAATAGTGCAGGTGAACTCTTTGTGCTAAACATCTCTGTTCCCCAGAGAAGAGCTTAGCCATTAAGTTGTGTTTCCATTCCAAATAAGTCATATTACAATTCAGCTCCCTTTAGCTTATATAATGTACATGTTTTAATGTCTCTTATTAGAATTTTCAATTTTCACTTTCTCTTCCAAAATCCTGGGAAGTTTTTATTTTTTTTAGGTGTAGATTGATACAATGTCTTTATTTTATTTATTTATTTTTATGTGGTGCTAAAGATCCAACCCAGTGCCTCACACATGCTAGGTAAATGCTCTACCACTAAGCCATAACCTCAGCCCTCCTGAGCAGTTTTTAATGCTGCATCAATGTTTTGTAGGATAAAATGGATTGAGAAATTTAAGTTACTATATTCATAAATATTCACAAAACTCTTCCTCCCCCCTTCCTTTTTTTTTTGCAGTAGTAGAGATTGAAACCAGGACCTTGTCTGTGGTAGACAAACACTGTACCACTGAGCTATATTCCTAGCCCATCTCTTTTTTCTTTAGAGATCCTATGGCTTTTTCTTTTCTTTATTCTTGTTGCTTTCTAGTAGTGATAATTGAGGTTCTCTAAAGTGACCTAAACTATAACTCACCAATTTCCATTTACTCTGTAAAACATAGAGACTGGAGTCTATAAATAGAGTCTCAAAATAAAAATATCTGACGTGGTTGACAGTTTGCATGACCTTGCTCCTCTCATTAATTTTTAGTCATGTACATAACTGTCAGTTGGATATGTGTTCTCAAAACTTTCTTTTACTGTTAGTGCTCCAATTACTAATTTAATTAGAGATTTCCCAAATCAAAGAACAAGTCATCTAAAGAGAAAAAAATGTTATTTCTTGGAAAACAAGTTCTATCAACTACTCTGGAAACTTCTAAAGAAAATGAATATTATTAAGTAGGTGTGCATGAAAAAACTGAAATATTAAGAAAACAACCCTAAAATTTACGAGGAATCTGTATTCAGAATGCTCACATGATTTCTGAAGGACTTTTTCTATATTAAAGAAATGAGAAGAGGACATCAAAAAGTTCATATTATCAGTGTGACTTACAGAGAATTCAATTAATGGATCTGCATTCAAAGAAAAAGCCATCACACAACATTAAAATATTTGTGACAATTTTAGATTAAAGTTTTAAGCCATATTTTTGTGATCCCCCCTTTAACTCATTTTTTTCCATTAACTGTTGAAGTATGAGTCCTAAATGAATTGGAAGAGATAGCATCTATTATGGATTTTTACTACTACTATCATTTTACTACATATGCTGTTGCTACTGGTACTATCACTAATTAAGAAAAAAGCCAAATATTTCATTTAATCCAAATGCTTAAATTTCTGTTAAGGTATATGATAATGAAAGTTTTGATTATGGAGAGGTATGTTGATAAAGTATAATTTGGGGTAAAGGTTCACTTTGGGGAGGTATCTTGATGGAATAACCAGCTAGAAATCATCACGAGGGCATTAGACACATGAATATAGAAAAAGGAGATAAGTGATGGTAGAAAATATGCAAAGATAAGGAGGTAGGAGAGTGTTACCAAGGAGACAGTCAAATCAATGTTTGCTTTGGCATTAGACCTTGGTTCTGGTGGCAGTTGTACTCCACCAGTGGATGGCTCGTAGCATATGCTGTCAACATCTAAAAGTGAACACAACAAGAAATATGGCTCCCTAAATGCTGAATCACAAAACATGTAAAGGGTGAGTATAGGTACCATGTCACTTAAATGAATGTAATACTCAGTTTGACTAAATTTAAAATATTAGCACTTCTAAAGTAGTAGGCATAAATTTATGCTTAAATTATTAAACACTATACATAAAATGTCAAAAAGTAGTTAGCTGAGCAGTGTGATGTACTATTTAAATGATGCCAGAATTTCATTAGTTTTTATTCTAGTTTGGAGGCAGTAAGTGAGAAAACATTGAAAGGAGCCATTATACTGAAGGTTTTCTTTGAATCACTTAAACATCTGGAATATGTGCTCCATGAAAGAACATACCAAATCTAATTTTATTATGACTAGTTTCATGTAGGCAGAATTTTCACTTCATTAAATGTTGTCTGATTATAAATATAAAAGTACTGATTTAGAATGATCTATAAGTCTCATATGTCAAGTTTTTCTTCTTTGTATAAAATTAAATTGCCTGATATATCTTTCCTTATCTTTATATAGTTAAGGGTTTGTTCAATGTATATTCAGAATTATAGTCCTCGACCACTTTTGCAGCTAAAGAAAGAAATTTTCTAACAAGGAAAGATGATGATGATGATGATGATTATTATTATTAGTAGTAGTAGTAGTATCAGGGATTGAACCCAGGAGTCCTTAACCACTGAGCAATATCCCAGCCCCTCTTTTATGTTTATTTTGAGACAGGGCCTTGCTAAATTCCTAAAGCTGGCTTTGAACTTGAGATCCTCCTGCTACAGCCCCTTGAGCTGCTGGGATTACAAGTGTGTGCCACCACACTC